GACAGAACGGACTATACAGACGCTGGAGGATATGTTGCGCGCTTTGGTTGTTGACAAGGGTGCTAAATGGGAGTCATTATTGTCGTACGTCGAGTTTGCGTACAACAACAGTTATCATTCTTCTATTCAGATGGCTCCTTATGAGGCACTATACGGTCGTAAATGTTGTTTCCCTCTTTATTGGGACGACGTCGGTGAACGTCGAGTACTCGGTCCGAAGCTGATCGAGGAGACAGCCGAACAAGTCGAGTTGATCTGGCAGAGACTCAGAACAGCTCAGAGTAGAATGAAATCAACCGCCGATCATCATCGACGAGATATCCAATTCGAGGTTGGCGAGCACGCTTTTCTCAGAGTTAGTCCATTTCGCGGAGTTGTTCGATTCGGGAAGAAAGGGAAGTTACACCCTCGGTTTATTGGCCCGTTCGAAGTACTCGAGCGAGGGGGCGATGTTGCGTATCGTTTAGCCTTACCTCCCGAGTTATCCAGTGTTCATAATGTCTTTCATGTATCTATGTTACGCAAGTACGTGTGCGACCCCGATCATGTCATTCCTCACACTGATATTGAGATTCATCCAGACTTATCTTACGAGGAGCGACCGGTAGCTGTGTTGGACTGACAGGTTCGACGACTCCGGAAGCGTAATGTTCGCCTCGTTCGTATTCAGTGGGATCGCCACGGAGCCACTTGGGAGCAAGAGGCTGACATTCGCGCTCGTTTTCCCTATTTTCAGTTTTGATGTATATAACTTTCATATATATATATATATATATATATGTTTAGTTTTATATTTCCGAGGACGGAAATATTTTAAGGGGGTAGATTGTAATAACCCAACTTCTTGTTAATAAAAATGATGTATTATCTTTTATTAATTTCGTTCATTTTCAGCGAATACGTTCGACGTTAAGTCGAAAATTCTATTCGGTTAATTATTAACCGAGTTAAAATCGATAATTAATTTCCGAACCATTTATTTTATAAACGGACATCGTTAATCGGGATTAATTATTAATAGTTAAGAATGT